CCCTAGAGCAGAGAAACATTGCCCTGGAGCAGGAGAACGCCGCCCTGAAGCTGGAAAAAACCGGACTGGAGGATAAAAACAGCACGCTAGTGGAGAAAACCATCACCTTGGAGCAGGATAACACCACCTTGGAGCTGAGAAACACTGAATTGGAGCAAATAAACATCACCCTGGAGCAGACAAACACCAACTTGCAGGAGAGAACCACCGATGTTGGGCTGAGAGTCATCACCTTGGAGCAAAGAAACAACACCCTGCGGCGGAGAAACAACACCCTGGATCGGAACCAGAGCGCCTTGGAGCAGATGTACGCTGACCTGGAGGTGAATTATAACACCCTGCTGGAGGAAAAAAACAACCTCAGCCGGGTAAACAACGTCTTGGAGGAGGAAAACGAAGCCCTGAAGATGACTCGCATTGTCCTGCTCCATAGAAACACGGAATATGAGCACCAAAACCACATCTTGGAGGATTTAAACAGCGACCTGCAATTTGAAGTGGAACAGCTGAATCGCACGATTGAAGACTTGTACCAAAGGCTGAGGGACAGAGAGCAGCAGCAGAACCAGCAGCCATCTGAAGAGGCTACCAACGAAGACAGCCAGTCGGTTTCAGATCAGCCACAGGAGCAGCTATCTATAGTAAGACGTGTGGTCAGAGGCTTCACCGATACACTTCTGAAAATATATCAATCAATCAATCTCAGGCACTGGGTTGAAGCCTGGTACTTATAAATAAAGAAGTGTCATGAGGGCTCCAAGCTTCATGCTTGATTGTCGGTGGCAGAAAAGCTTGAGGACAACAGGACTGCGGTGTCAGGGGAGCTTGACACTTGGGGGCTGATGGTGGAAGAGCTAATTGCTTGAAAGATGCTGATCTCCCGGCCGACCTGCAGGGCTTCATAGCAAGTCCCGCTGGTCCCCGGGCTGATCTCCAGGGTTTTGTGTCGAGTCCCGCTGGTCTCCCGGCTGACCTCCGGGGCTTCGTTGTGGATCCTGTCGGTCTCCCGGCCAACCTGCAGGGCTTCATAGCAAGTCCTGCTGGTCTCCGGGCTGATCTCCAGGGTTTTGTGTCGAGTCCCGCTGGTCTCTAGGCTGATCTCCAGGGCTTCGTGTCGACTCCCGCTGGTCTCCAGGCTGACCTCCAGGGCTTCGTGGCGAATCCCGTTGGTCTCCGGGCTGACTTCCAGGGCTTCGTTGTGGGTCCTTTCGGTCTCCGGGCTGACTTCCAGGGCTTCGTGTCGAGTCCCGCTGGTCTCCAGGCTGACCTCCAGGGCTTCGTGGCGAATCCCGTTGGTCTCCGGGCTGACTTCCAGGGCTTCGTTGTGGGTCCTTTCGGTCTCCGGGCTGACTTCCAGGGCTTCGTGTCGAGTCCCGCTGGTCTCCAGGCTGACCTCCAGGGCTTC